GCACATAATTTAATTAGCAATATAAAAACTGCTAACCTCTGATGCTGTAAACGCAAAGGAGGCGGCAGACTTCAAGCGACATCTGTCAAAAAATAGCAAAAATCAGCCATTTTGAAGAAATTCTTGTGCATTGCAAGCTTGCAATGGGTCATACACATCTAGATGTGTATAAGAGACAGTAATATTTGTATTATATATTCTAAAATATATAAAAACCAAAACGGTTATTTGAATTTTTTGCATAAATTTTGAAGTTAATTCAAATTCCCTTTCCAGGCCTCAGATCGCCCGTAATTGATTTTTGTTTTCTTTTTTTTATCTTATGTATCTTTCCAACTTCTAAATTATTTTCACTTTACACGACTTTTAAAGACCTGCATTGGTCTATAAGAGTAAAAAAATTTGAAAATTTTTATTTTACTCACTCTATTGCTATAATTATAAGGTTGTACAGCAACATGTAAGGCCGTTGATTTGGCCTCGTTTTTAGCATTCACATTCATACCGCAATCTAGTAATAGTTTAACAACCATATCGTTGGGAAATACAATCTGCATGAAAGCAAATATATGTAATCGTATATGAATATTTATAAATTTTCGATTATTATATTCAAATTTCAATAAGAATACGCATCCACTTACGTTTAAGTGGTTCTCATCACTTAAGTAACCGCTCTTGATGACATTCAATCGCGACACGCACAAATGCAGCAACGTATCGTAAGTGCATGCGCTACGCACCCTCGTATGCACCAAATCGTAKACAGCATAATAGACATCTTTTCTTTTTTCAGCTGTATCCGAAGTACCAATTAAAAGGTAAATCAAATGAGCTATGCATTTTAATATGCGATCGAAATTTTCTTGCTGTTTACGATAAACCGGCCGTATCTTCAACAGCTGTTGTGCCTCGGTTACGGTACCACTTAGTAGGCGGAAAACACCAATTACATCTTCGAAAACTGGCAAATGCTCATCTTTTCCCGCATCATCCTCAAATTCTTCGTCAAAGAATTCACGTATGTCTACTTCGCGATGCTCTAGCTCGACATTACGCAAATAACGTTCATGCAAATCGATCATTAGACGTACTAATGTTTGGGCGGCATAACACGTATCGAAATGTAGTATTGAGAAATGCGTAACACGTACTTCTAGCAAGAGGCGCCACAAATCGATACATCGTTGTAGTTGCAGTGAGTCCGCATATGAGGCGCCACGAAATGTTAAACGGAAGAGCATATCTTTGTGCGTTAAGCCAAGTATACGCTCACATATCAACAAACTTTGAATACGCATTGCATCCACATCGGTAGCAATATTGTCGAGCTCTTCYAGTGTTGTAAACTCAATGGCATTACCATAGGCTGGACGCAGTGGCACCATTGGTCGTTTTTCTACACACAACATTATAAAGATAATTTAAAAATATATATATTTTTTTTATTTATAATAATATGTAAGAGACAGATTCATATGTATATATCTACATATATACATACATATATATATATATATATATATGTTTGTATAATATAACATTTTTTTTATCGTATCGTATTATTCGTATGCTAAGTTCTATCGTTGAACTCAACAGATATAATTGTAAATAACTTGTTTTGTAATAAGTATTTTATAACTCGAATTATTATATGTCAGTATTTTCGTATATATTATAGTAGGGAAGTTCCACTACTTTGCGCTTACACTATTTGTTATTCAAGTTTTACATTTACAACTTAAGGGAAATTTCTTTCATGATATATCAGGAATATAACCTTGTATAATGTACATATATGCGTGATCCGCTTATTCATGTTATTATTCATGACTATGTTCGAAAACAATAACCGAAAATTCGACCTAAATTTTTTTTGGGTAACTGCAATGCAAAGTGGCACACTTATATTTGTGGGCGCCGTTGTAGATTTTGTATTGATATGATGTATTGTGGATGAGTAATTTAAAAAATAACGCGTACATTAAAATATTTGCAAATTGAGGTGCAAGGAAATTCGTGACACAACGGCCTTTTAAAGTTCGTTAAACTAGTCAGTCTAAGAGATTATTGTTTTCGAACATTGACTGTGAGTTTTAGCATACATTCTTTGATTATTTTCTTTTTTTTAATTTGGTCACTTATATTTCCATATTATTGAAGTATGTATATATGCACATTTATGATTTGTTAATATTATTATTTTTTTTATAATACTATGTAGATAAATACGTTTGAAAAATGTTTACATTCAGACCTATGTATGCTTTTGGTATTTACGTATTTTTTAAGGTTCATGTTGTCTGACAAATTGTTCGAGCAATTTTGGTAATTGATTGCGGTAAGGTATTTTATATTTACTTATTACAGTTGCAGCCATACACTTCAGATTCATGTAATTGATTAACGGTATTGTATTGATGGGATTGCTGGCGATTAAGTTAAATGGGCGTTCGTCTGATTTATTCGGTTGATCCAAATCCGCACCCCTTTCCAATAATAAATGTATTATCTAAAGTAAAAAAGCAATGGAAAAAATTATTGTAACTGTAAGTGAATAGACAAGTGTAGATAGCATTTGTAAGGAAAAACAAGTCACAGTAGAATAAAACCCATTGGAAAAGAAAAATAAAATAACAAAAATGAAAGGGAAAATAATTTACAAATAATCTAATTTACAATAATCTAAATTTGAAGGGTTAAAACGGTTTAATTCGATTTCTGTCACAAATGCAATTTGAATTTAGTGGGTTATTACTTTTTTTGCATTTTTTTAGAAATCTTACTATGGCGGTGTAAACATTTTTTAAACCATCAGAAAGTAGGGACTTCAACAAAGAAAAATCCTACCGACTTTAACCCTGTTCCGCTATTCTTCGTCAATACGGCGAAGGACGATTTTAAATTCGTTTGAAAACAGTTTTTCCTTATGTATTTTGTTCTGATTTTCCGTACAGCAACAATTAAAAATATATATGAATTTCGTTACTTCTTGACTAAAAATAAAATAAAAGAAAATAATAAAATCCTTTTTGATTTATTTTTGCTCCCGAAATGTTATATAACGTAAGTTAAGGATGACGTTCCAGGATTAACACAAAAACGGAACGTTACGTGAGAATTTTCTATTGCAAATTTAAGCGTTTTTCCATTTCAACGAGAAAGAGAAAAAAATATATATTTTAAATAAAGAATATATTTTGTTTGGGGCAAGAAAGGAAAATTAAAAAAAAAAAT